TTCTCTTAATGATTCTATTGTAGGTTGCGTATTCACCATTGTTTTTATTTAAGATATGAGTATATTCAATTCATCGTAGAGATAAAGTCACGTGTGCGTTACAATTTGTAACGCTGATGCCAAGAAAAATTCTTGATCATATGCAAGTTAATATACATCGATATTGATACAATAAATAAATTCACGAAATACACATGTAAAAGTAAACGTGATTATGTATGCGAAATGGGTCACCAGGGCCAGCTTTATTTATACAGAAATTGAATTAAATAAAAAATAAATAAATCAAACTGATACATTATACAAGATTATCATACATAATACGCCTATTGCTTCTGTTAGGATTAATATTAGTTATAAATGAACAGGATTCAATATAACATAAATTTGTAATGTTTCGACATGCAGTTTTCTGAGTTTTTTTTTTTTGAAACATTAATAGTAAATTTTCAGATATTAACCCGTTTTAGAGTCAAATGGTAGTTGGAATAGCAAGGATTGATATCTGACTAACTTTTGCTCTTATGGTTGTTGGTATCTTAAAGCTTTATTTTTTATATTTGCCAAATTGATACCGAAATAAAAGTTGTACAGTATATATGATGCACTATATATAATTGTAGGACTTTTCAATATAACTTTTCATGAACGCCATGTGACAAATTTATTTGCATCAATTTTTATCCATAGCATCGAAGATCGCCTGTTGTATATCATATAAATCGATGGCAACTCCAGGCGCAGAAGTTTGAGAAAGAACCTGAAGAGGAGGGAGAGGAGGAGCACATCCCACATAAATACAATCACGGTCAATTGTAAGCCACTTCATTCGGGGGGCCGAGCAAATATTACTAGTCCTTCCGTTGACGCCAACAGTCCCAAACTCAATCTACCATTTTTAAATATGAGTAAACAGGTGAAAAAAAGGTAATTCACAAAATTCCATGATATTTACCTCTTGAATTGGATCAAATGTCGTAGCATTTTGGTCTAGTTGAAGAGTTGCACGTCGACAGAATTTCAGACACTATCGGAAATACAAATTAATGATGAAATGGAAAGAGCAAGAAAAATCACATAAATCATGGAACAATGTTGAACTCGCAAACGACGCAAAGGTTGCCCATTCCGATTACGGCGTTTAGTAATCCAACTGCCCAGCTTAAAAACAATCACATCCTCGCAACGGTTTGGAACTAGCCAAAAGTTGTTAACCTTATCCTTTATATGTATAAGCGTTTCAAAGGAAGCAACCTCGAGAATGATAGTTGGCCATGGGTTCCCCTAAAGTTTACAGATTAATATCAAATACATATTTTTAGATCCAAACAATAATATTCAAAATACATACACCATTATCGCATGGATTAGGCACCGGGTTCGGCAGATTTAGCAGACGTCGAGGCACAAAACAGCCATCGGGTTCTTTGTACTCACCTGTCGCCAGGTCGTATAAACCTGAATTCAACGTAACTAAGTTCGGTATAATAAGATACATGCAAAAACTAAAATACTTGAACTTACTTTTCGCTCCCCACCACCTAATGTTATCCTGAGGTGCCGCATTTCTAAGTTGATCAAAAATTTGGCGACTGAATTCACCTATTGCACCTTCGTGGTCACCGGACGGCAACTCAATAGCTGTCACAATGCCCTTATCATAGTCCCAGAATCTTCCCGTCTTAGCACGTTCAGATTTCTTGGCAAACTCTTTGAATGATACATTTTTTGCAAGGACCACAGGAAGTCTAATGAAACAAATCGAACCTTAACATGGACAAATGAAAAATTATTGTGATCCTCATTATGTTCCAGCTACCTTTCACCGTTAATAGGCGGACAAGTTCCTTCAAACCACCAACTTTTTTCTTTGTCGGTTGCCTCCATAACGTTTTTAAAGTATGATTTTGCTCTAAAATACTGTGAGGTTCAACAACGTAATTCGGATAAGCTGCGGCTTATCACGTTTTATGCGGATCAGTTACTTGATATGGATAAGTAACGTGATTGACTGGTCACGTTCCTTCCGGAAAACAAACTGGTGGGACAAGTCGCATACGTCGCATTCGTTGCATATGTCGCATGCGATGCATGCGACACATATAACGAATGCGACCT